AGTGTGTCAGATGGCCATAGCGTGTCATTGTTTACAAACAAGCATCTACCCATGAGCCTTTGCATTTTTCGTCTTGTCTTTAGCGTGTGATGTTATCGTCCCTTGGGACTCAATTCCCGTGCGTGATGACCCTCTTGCTTAAATACCCTACTTAGCTAATACACACACTATGTTACTAGAAACTTGAATTACATGAACACTTTGTTAACACAAAACTTCAACTCAGAAACCTCAACACCTCAACAGGCTATGCTTCTATCAAATTGACCACTAATAATAGTGAAAGGAGACACTATCTCGCGCTGACCCTTGCCCAACTAAAGTCAAAGCAAGACTACATACTAAAATTGTGCCTGATTGGCTACCCACCCCAACCAGTCTGACCAATCAGAGAGCACCTTTGAAATGTTTTTATCAACGTTTCAAATTCCACCTTGTATATATGCTTCGATTAACTGCAAAACTATCCTTAGATATTTTATAAATAAAACATTTAAATTCACTATTTTGATGTTTTGAGCAATTTCACTGGCATTTAATTTCACTATTTTTGAGCAATTTCACTGGGTTTTAATATCACAGACTAGGCAGGGAAACAATGAGTTCTATAGTTATTTCATGTGGATTTAATTTAGCAGATTTTACGTATCATCGAAAATAGGGAAATTAAAACCCAGTGAACAATTAATGCATTTACAGTACTTTGCTGAATATTCAAGGCAGAGAAAGGTCTGGCCGTTGAGAGAGTGGAATTACTTGTTTTTGTCACTCAATTTTCGCCTGTCATCACATCAACTGTTTTGATTACCAAGGTTACATATATTGAGGAGGGGGTCAAGTCCTATGGCTCTAGCTCCAGACAGATCAAGAGAAGAGAGGGTGGGGCAACTCTGTGAGACAAACTACAGTATTCAGATTGCATAACAACAAAAATTCAGTTTTATAAAGAAAAATATTTTTTAAGTGTAGCACAGAATAAAAATACAGAAATTTTTTTCAGCTGAAACATTTGTATAGGAATACACATTACCTCGTAATCCTGAATAAGTTAGAGGAGTTTTCTACATGAACCTATTTGTTGACAAATAATTTATAGCCTAGAATCTCAGCTTTCTGAGGTGATCTAGATCACAAAACTGCATGGTTAGTCAGTTTAGCTCATTAGGCATGCAAATGTATGCAAATGTCACATGCTACAAAGTATGCAGTGTTCTCTCTACTGCAGCGATTATGCTTAGCCTGACATGTAAGCGTAAGTGGCCCCTTGCCTGCCGAACAGCATCAGACCGTACTAACGCCTGACAAAATAGTGTATGTCTTGCCAGCAAGATCAATACTGTCAATTCAGAAATTTCACGTCTTCTTGCAATAGGTTTCAATGAATATTCATTTTTTTTGGTCATGGTAACACAGTCAATCAAAGTAGTGTTTGCATTGTCGGCAAAAATCACAGACTGGTTTCAGCAAAATTTGCCAGCACCTTATCACACATGTCGAGAAACAAATAAACTCTGCCGTGAATACTGTCACTATCTGACGTTCCTGCATTTTGATTGGTACGACAAAAAATCGTCAGGGGAAGTGAAAAACTACATCGTTCTGTCAGGCGTGTGTTGGGTTTGGAGCACCATGGAGGGCGCAACTTGCGTGACCTTGTCAGGCTACTAATTGCTTGGCCACTAAAATACAAATGCTTGTACTTTGAGAAAACAATAGATATATTGATATGTTAATTATTCATATTGTTACAAAATAAATATGCAAATTACATTATTATACAAATTAGCCACCACGCAGAAAAATCTAACAGCTTTAATCTTGAAAGACAAATTTAAAAAAAAAAAGGTCAGAAAATAGTGAAACTTTGTAGTGAACATTTATCTGGGGTTCAGATACAGAGGGTCATCAAATTCCGTGAATTATTTTCTTCATGACTGTCATAAAATCATTTAATTGCGAAAGTTCCTCACGGCGACAATCGGTTTACAGCTCATCAAAACAACGAGAAGTAATATTATCTCTGATTAACAATGCTTATATTTCCCATTTAAAGGGTGGTGGCCATCACACCATGCATGGACGAGATGTGGGATATATACAAACAAAGATGGCGTCTTTGTCTTTTGCACAGACCAATAACAAAACTGAGACATAATCTAGCTTTAACGAGGTAATTTGTTAGTGATTGGAAGATATCAATGGGGTAACTGGCAGTAATTATTGCATGTTGCACCCAGGTCAAAACTCGCACTCAGGATTTTCATGAGAAGGGTGCATTGAACTGTGGGAAAATCAATGTTTATCAACACAAATGTCACAGAAGCATGGCGCGATGATCACCGCTCTGTAAGGTAGTTCACCACCATAAAAACGTAGAAAAAAATGTTCGTGGTAAATCATTCATTTAAAGTTTTTATAGAGAAAGAAAACGTATGCAAATTTTTCCATTTTGGAGCATTTTCCAAAGGAATCCATGTAAACATATTATTCCATGTATAACTTTCACTTATATTCCCAATTCTCCAAGTTTTCTCGAGTCACATGTACCCCTCATAACACTAAATATTTTTAGCATAGTCATCAATCAAAATTTTGGAATATGATGGAGTGTTTCTCCCATAGGAACACACATGTTTGATCGATTTTTGAAGTCGTTTTGTGAAAACAGAGTTAGGTAGAAAAAACTGATCATGGTAAATCATAGGTATATTTTTTTATAAACCTCTCATATTGGATTAGGAGGATTTCTGAGTATGTTTTTAATGATAGCAAAATACTGTCGAATACTTTATTTTCGCTTGGAATTTATTTTCACTAAAGGAATGATTCAGTGAAAATAAAATCCAGCGAATATACTTTTTTTCCTATATTTCACATTCAACTCATCAAAAATCAGTGAAAATAAATTCCATATAAAATGCCTAAAAAGCCTTTTCAGGAAAATAAATCCAGCGGAAATAAAGTATTTCACAGTACCTTAATAACATAATAATTTACAGTACGTTTTGTTTTCAATGTTTATTGTACAGCATCTTGTAAAGAACAGAATCTACCGTAGTCTAAATAGTACACTGTCACTGATTGACCAATTTTAAATTACTACAGAGAATAGTACACTGTCACTGATTGGTCAATTCAAAATTACTACAGAGAATAGTATACTGTCACTGATTGGTCAATTTCAAGTTACTACAGAGAATAAGTTATAAAGAATTATCTCAAAAAACAACTTTAAGAGAAAACAAACCTTGAAATATGTTTAATACTGTTTAAACTTTCTCAATTGTTCAGATTTGAGTTACATAAACATCACATTATAAATAAACACAAGATTCTTTGATTCTGACAAATAAAGCAAAAACTAGAATATCAGTGGTTGTATTTATAACTGCCATTGTTCGCTTAGTTAACTTACTGAATTTATAACAAACCACTTAAAGGAGCACCTCCAGTTAGGCCCATTCTCACAACAAATTTACTTTCTGGATTAAAATTACAATGGATAACAAAAGATAGATTAACTTTGTAAATAACATAAACAATAGTCCCATGATTCTTTGGTGCAATCCCTGGGCTTGGAAGATTCCCCTTTAAGATGTATATCGAAATAATAAATATGTGATGTATAGGAAAAAATCGTTATCGTCCACATTTGATACGTTTCTTACACCAAACGATATTCTACGACTACGTCAGTTCGATTTTACGTTACAAACACTACTGCTGATATGATGCCCTGAATACTGTAGAATACTTTATTTTCGCTTGGAATTTATTTTCGCTATTTTCGCTGAATGGATGATTCCGTGAAAATAAAATCCAGGGAATATACTTTTTTTCCTATATTTCACATTAAATTCATCAAAAATCAGTGAAAATAAGTTCCATACAAAACGCCCAAAAAGCCTTTTCAGCGAAAATTAATTCCAGCGAAAATAAAGTATTCCACAGTACATCACCAATTTGACAAGTCCAGCGTCTCTTTATAAATGGTTGTACATAGTACAAAAATACCAACAATTAAGTATCTAGAAAAAAAAATATATAAGAAAAAATATTATTAACGCTGTAAAATGTTTTTATAATGAGCTGTACTGTAAAATCTGTATTAGAAACCGCGGCTTCTATTAAAATGGTACAATGCAATAGAGGGGATGAGGCTTCTATTAGAGCATCTACACATATGAGAAATGACGAATTTTTGGTTCTCAATTATTCAAAAAGAATGCGTGCAACTTGTATTAGAGATGCGGCTTCTAATACAGATTTTACGGTAATCTATGTACATGGTAGCCAAGAATTGCAGAATATGTCCCCTTAATGTTCACATGCAGTTACCGTAGCCGTTGTTTTGGCTCCAAATTTCATACACTAAAACATTTTATACATGTTCTAATGAACCAAAATAAGTATAAATCCTCAAAAAAGTCCCGCAATTTGCCATTATCTGTCATGTTGCACTATTTTACCAAAATGTCAATAAACCTTAACTTGTTCCCCACCAGTTCCTTCTTTTCATCACAAATTGACAAAATAGTCCTGTTTATAGTTTGCAATTTCTTTCTAAATATTGGAACAAAAAAGCCAAACTTTTGGGGTAAAAACTAAACATTGACTCAAAATTGTCTGTTGGCACCAAAATTATATTAGTTTATTTCCAGAAGTGGAAAGTGGAAACAAAATTCAACGAAGAAGTCTAGTGGTGAAAAAGTTAAACTATCATCTTATCAATTTTAAAAGATGTTTAATATACTGGTACATTGAGGTTTGTGCGTATAGCTGTGTATTTTCTTTTGTACCCTTCCCTAAATAACAAAACAAATTATGTTAAGCATTAGTGACAGTGCAAGTCAACTACAACACCATCTCACCTTTTAACGTAAATGAAGAACATTCTCATTTCTCATGCATCAACTTCCATAGTATTATCTTCAACTGATGGGTGGTTACCTAGGAGATCCACTGATTCTGAATCTCCAGGATCATTAGTTGCCATAACTACATCCTCATCTTTACTTTCCAGAGGATCCCCACTTCCGACTGCATGTACATCCTTTGCATCTTCCTCGCTCCCAGCACCATCAGATTTATTTTCACTGCTACCAAAATCTTCTTTGGTAGGTTTATCAGGTGAAACCTGTTCATCCTGGCAATGTTCTGCAACAGCTACTCCGTCTGTACCATCTGTAAGAGTATCACCTACATCTGCCTTGGCATCTTCTGTAACTAGCTCATCTTCCTCATCTTCTAACAGCTTATCTTCTTCCTCTTTGCTTAAAGAGTTATCTTCCAGACCACCTTCTTCCTCAGCGGGATGGCTCTCCAGCAAGGCATCCTCAGCAGCTCCTTCTTTATCATCTTCCACAACTGGCGATTCTTCTTCTAAAACCGTTGCAGGTTCAGCTGGTATAGTTTTTTTCTCTGGCTTGGAAGTTTTCTCTATTTCAGGTTCATCATCATCCAAAAGTATGATATCATCATCATCATCATCATTAACCTTGGTTTCTTGAGCAGATGTAGAAGGAATACTTGGCTCAGCCATAATGTTAGCATCATCAACTGGATTCTGGGAGGGAGGTTCATCATCAGTTCCAAAAAGACGGTCTATTATATTGGAAACTGCATCAGTGACTGATGCGTCATCCTTAACAACATCATCAAAGAATCCATCGTCTTGATACTGTGATGGTTCGGGAGATTCCATCCATTTTGTACCCGGGCTGTTACTGCTGCACGAAGATTGGGCATATTCTTCTGGACGGCGTGGACGAGTATGGTGCTTGAAGCCTTCTACCTCTGTGGGTCCCATAGTGCAGGTCATAACATGACCGGCCATAGCCGAACCCGATTCCGTGCAGTAGTTACACTTCTCACATTTCAAGATATCTATAGATGGTTTGGTCACCGGGTGTAATTTTGGTGCTGGTCGGTTTGATTTGTGGAATTTAATCATATGGTTCCCATACGACATCCCACAATAAGTACGGTATGGACAACTGGAACATTTGAGAAACGTGGCGAAATGTGCAGCAAGATCGTCTATAGCTGTACTACATTCACTGCATTTGTGTACCATACCATTGTCGTCGATCTTACGAGTTTTATCCAGTGATGCTTTCCAATCTAGCAAACTATAGCTTTCTAAAGTACCTTTCCTTGCGTCACCTCGCATCTGTTTCTTCTGCTTCTTATAGATATCAAAACTGTCAACGCTCGCACGCTTCAACACTCGCTTCTGCTCTGCAGATTCTTGAATTATCTGTTCCTGCGATTTCACACTTTCAGACACCTTCTTCACAGGAAAGCGTATGTGGTCTTCTTTCATGTGCGTCTTCAACTCAGCTGGCGTCAGGAACATCAATTTACATTGTTTACAGCGAGAATTACCCGACTTAGTCTGATGTTTCTGACAATGACGAAGGTAGCTTGTTCCATCACGCACCCCTTTAAGGCAGTGAGTGCACAACAGCTGTCTGATACCTTCATGCTTACAACGGAAATGCTCAATGATGTCGTCATGGACTGAAGACCGGAAATTACAGACCGGGCAGTGATAAGGCATCTGTAGAGGCGGGTGCTTGGTATTCAAATGACACTGTAGATTTAGTCGACTCTCGTAAACCATATCACAAATCTTGCATTTTAAGTTTGACGTATTCAGATGAGCTTTCTCGATGTGACACTGCAGTTCAAATGGCGTGTTAAAACGGCGGCCACAGTGTTCACAATTAATGATGTCACTCAATGATAGATTTTCCTGTTTCTCTTTCTCTAAATGATTTTTGATGTGCTGCATGAATTTAATGTTATTATTTATAGTTTTGGTGCAATGGTAACATTTAAAACCATTTTTGAATCTCTCATCCTGATAGTTTCGACTCCCTTCCTTAGTTCCATAAAACTGCTGAATTGTGTATCGGTGCCTTTCTTCTCGTTCGGGTTTGTGGGACCAGCTCGGAAGTTTTACTTTTTCTCTTTGTATCAAATTTTCCTGGGATGTACATAGGCACTTTATCCCTTTGTGAACTCTGAGGGAAAGTTGGTTTGGTTCGATTAGGAGGCTTTCCTAGGAGAATATCTGTGACTTCTCTTGGTAATGATGTAGAGGTAGAAGGTGGATGGTTCTTTGGTGGAGCAGTCTGGACAGGATTGTGCATCTGGGTGACTTTTACACCTGGTTGCACCAGTGTATTCGTAGCCGGACTGTATACATAGTGATACACGTTACCAGCTGAAGTAAGCAACTTATAATTTTGGCCGAGGTGCTGTTGGATATTGACCCCAGTCGGTACACGAATAACAGTAGTTTTTAAATTATTTTTCGGCGATCCACTTAGATTGTTTGAAGCTGTAGACGTGGGGACACTGACGTTAACTATTTGTTGTCGCTGGCGATTGATTTGCAGTAGTTGAATAATTAGGATTTAATGACGCCCATAGTTTGTGTTGATGATAGACTGTTGTGGAATGGTTTGCATTTGAGCAGCTGGATATCTTTGATACTGTGTGCTATTGTTCACAGGCTGTGTCTGTGCTAATGAATGCAATGGTTGGGACGACAATAATGAAACTGTTGGTGTTGATTTCTGAATAATATATCGAGTTGATGGCGCTGAAGCTGAGGTGTTCATAGGCTGGCTTGGCACCGCTATTGGCTGCTGTACCATAGATGTTCCTTGGGCTTGTAGGTGAATGGGCGTTCTGCTATTGGGCGCGAGGATGTACGACTGTCCCACGTTAGACGCAGGTGATATCCCTGATGTTGGCGTACCAATTTGCTTTGCAATAGTCTGAACAATACTTGATGCATTCGTTACCGTTTTGATGTTACTTGGCTTGTTTGCTAGCATAGTCTTCAGCATAGTCCTCTGATTCGTCACTCGCATATTTGACCCTTTCATTGAGATATTCGGCACCATGCGAGGCATTTCCGAAAAGGAATGTACAGTATGGTGTTGCTGCAGAATCTGCACTTGCTGATCCTGTTTAGCTTTTTCGGCATTGTACTTCGCTACCTGTGCATCGTACTTTCGCTGTTCGGCCAACTGAGTTTGAAATAATTCACGTTGTGCAGGTGAAAGGTCATCATCCTCACATTCCATCATCAGGTCTAAATCACTCCTCTTTGCAAAGCTTCGTCTCGTCATGACTTGCGCCATCTTTGTTTTTCTAAAATAAGAAACAGAAATAATTTAGAATATTATAATCAGCTGTGATGTTGGATTATTTGAAAGGATTATAAATTATTAACTAGTACTGTAGAATACATTTTCGCTTGGAATTATTTTTGCCATTTCCGCTGAAGGATTGTTTTAGTAAAAATAAAATTCAGCAAATATACTTTTTTTCCTATATTTTACATTCAACTCAAAATTCAGTGAAAATAAATTCCATACAAAAATGCCTAAAAAGTCTTCTCAGCAAAAATTAATTCCAGCTAAAATATTTTACAGTATTCTATTTTCATTCAGCAACAAAAATAATTAAGTTTATGACAATGGCTAACATTTTATGACAATGGCTAACATTTCATGACAATGGCTAACATTTCATGACAATGGCTAAAAGTTCATGACAATGGCTAAAAGTTCATGACAATGGCTAAAAGTTCATGACAATGGCTAACATTTCATGACTTTGGCTAATATTTTATAACAATGGCAAACATTTCATGACAATGACTAAAAGTTCATGATAATGGCTAAAAGTTCATGATAATGGCTAAAAGTTCATGACATTTGGCTAATATTTCATGACAATGGCTAAACATTTCGTGACAATGGCTAAAATTTAGTGACAATGGCTAAAATTTTGTGACAATGGCTAACATTTCGTGACAATGGCTAACATTTCGTGACAATGGCTAACATTTCATGACAATGGCTAACATTTCATAACAATGGCTAAAAGTTCATGACAATGGCTAATATTTCATGACAATGGCTAAAAGTTCATGACAATGGCTAAAAGTTCATGACAACGGCTAAAAGTTCATGACAACGGCTAAAAGTTCATGACAATGGCTAAAAGTTCATGACAATGGCTAAAAGTTTATGACATTGGCCAATATTTTATGACAATGGCTAAAAGTTCATTATAATGGCTAAAAGTTTATGAAAATGGCTACAAGTTTATGAAAATGGCTACAAGTTTATGAAAATGGCTACAAGTTTATGAAAATGGCTACAAGTTCATGACATTGCGCAATATTTTATGACAATGGCTAACATTTCATGATAATGACTAAAAGTGCATGGCAATGAATAAAATACAATCTTTAATTAGACATGAAGTTAAACTCAGACTGTGCTGAATATATGTGAAACATTTTAAGATGCTACTTTTTTAATTTGACTATCCACATACAGATACTAGTA